AGTTGGGGTTGAGGAGGTTGTCGGTGGGGTTGGGAGGTTGTCGGGGTGGGGATTGGGAGGGGTCAGGCTGGGAGGGGTTGGAAGCGTGGGGAGGTTGTCGGTAGAAGCTGGGGAGGTCAGTGGGGGGTTGGGGAGGTTGTCGGTGGGGAGGTTGTCGGTAAAGGGGCTGGGGAGGTTGTCAGTGGGGCTGGGAGGTTGTCGGTAGGGTTGGGGAGGTTGTCGGTAAGGGTTGGGAGGTTGTCGGTGGGAACTGGGAGGTTGTCAGTGGAGGTGGAGGTTGTCGGTTGGGAGGTTGTCGGTAGAGGGGGTATCGAGGAGAGGTTGATCAGTGGGGTTGGGAGGTTGTCAGTGGGGGTTGGGAGGTTGTCCGTCAGTAGAGGCTGGGAGAGTTGTCAGTAGGGGGAGCTGGGAGGTTGTCGGTGGGGTTGGGAGGTTGGTAGGGGTCGGGGTAGTTCCTGGTAGGAGTTGGGAGGTTGTCAGTAGGTTGGGAGGTTGTCAGTGGGGCTGGGAGGGTTGTCGGTGGAGGTTGGGAGGTTGTCGAGGTGGTGGGGAGAGATGTCGGTAGGGGTTGGGGAGGAGTTGTCGGTAGTGGGGTTGGGAGGGGTTGTCAGTAGGGTTGGGAGGAGGTTGTCAGGTAGGGCTGGGACAGCGGTTTGTCAGTAGGGAGGCTGGGGAGGAGTTGTCAGTGGGAGTTGGGAGGTTGTCAGTAGAGGGTTGGGAGGTTGTGAGTAGAGGCTGGGAGGTTGTCGGTAGGGGGTGGGGAGGTTGTCAGGTGGGAAGCTTGGGGAGGTTGTCAGTTGTGGGGAGTTGGGAGGTTGTCAGGTGGGGGTTGGGAGAGTTGTCAGTAGAGTTGGGAGAGGTTGTGGGAGTTGGGCAGAGTTGTAGAGCTGGGAGGATTGTCAGTAGAGTTGGGAGAGCTGTCAGTAGGGCTGGGAGAGGTTGTCAGTAGAGCTGGGGAGGTTGTCAGTAGAGCTGGGAGTTGTCAGTAGAGGTTGGGAGAGTTGTCAGTAGAGCTGGGAGAGTTGTCAGTAGAGCTTTGGAGAGGTTGTCAGTAGAGCTGGGAGAGTTGTCAGTAGAGTTGGGGAGGTTGTCAGTAGAGCTGGGAGAGGTTGTCGGTAGAGGTGGGGAGGTTGGTCAGCAGAGTTGGGAGAGCTGTCAGTAGAGCTGGGAGGTTGTCAGTGAGAGCTGGGAGAGTTGTCAGTAGAGTTGGGGAGGTTGTCAGTAGAGCTGGGGAGAGTTGTCAGTAGAGCTTGGGAGGTTGTCAGTAGAGCTGGGGGAGGATGTCAGTAGAGTTGGGAGAGTTGTCGGTAGAGCTGGGAGGTTGTCAGTAGAGCTGGGAGAGTTGTCAGTAGAGCTGGGAGAGTTGTCAGTAGGGAGTTGGGAGAGTTGTCAGTAGAGCTGGGAGAGGTTCAGTCAGAGTCAGAGCTGGGAGTTGTCAGTAGAGGCTGGGAGAGTTGTCAGAAGAGCTGGGAGAGTTGTCGAAGTAGAAGTTGGAGAGTTGGGGAGAGTTGTCAGTAAGAGCTGGGAGAGAGTTGTCAGCAGAGCTGGGGGAGAGCTGGGAGTTATCAGAAGTTGGGAGAGTTGTCAGTAGAGTTGGGAGACTTGTCAGTAGAGGTTGGAAGGTTGTCAGTGGGAGAGCTTGGGGAGGGTTGTCAGTAGAGCTGGGAGAGTTGTCAGCTGGGGAGTTGTCAGTAGAGGGGAGAGTTGTCAGATGGGAGTTGGGGAGGTTGTCGGTAGAGTTGGGAGAGCTGGTCGGTAGAGAGTTGGGAGAATCAGTAGAGAGAGTCAGGGAGAGTTGTCAGAGTTGGGAGGGTTGTCAGTAGAGGCTGGGAGAGTTGTCAGCAGAGTGGGGGTTGTCGGTAGAGGTTGGGGAAGTTGTCAGTGGAGTTGGGAGAGTTGTCAGTGTCAGTAGAGCTGGGGAGGTTGTCGGTAGAGCTGGGGAGGTTGTCAGTAGAGTTGGGAGAGTTGTCAGTAGAGTTGGGAGAGTTGTCAGTAGAGGCTGGGAGAGTTGTCAGTAGAGAGTTGGGAGAGGTTGTCAGTTGTAAGAGTTGGGGAGGTTGTCAGTAGAGTTGGGAGGTTGTCAGTGGGGAGTTGGGGAGGTTGTCAGTGGGGAGCTGGGAGAGTTGTCAGTAGAGTTGGGAGAGGTGTCAGTGCAGAGTTGGGAGGTTGTCAGTAGGGCTGGGGAGGTTGTCAGTAGGGCTGGGAGGTTGTCAGAGCTGGGGGAGTTGGGGAGGTTGTCGGGAGAGTTGGGAGGTTGTCAGTAGAGCTGGGAGGTTGTCAGTAGAGGTGGGGAGGTTGTCGAGGTCAGCTGGAGCCGGGAGAGTTGGGAGTTGTCAGAGCTGTCAGCAGAGGCTGGGAGAGTTGTCAGTAGGCTGGGAGGGTTGTCAGAAGAGCTGGGGAGAGTTGTCAGTAGAGTTGGGAGGTTGTCGGTAAAGAGCTGGGAGGTTGTCGTCAGAGCTGGGAGAGTTGTCAGTAGAGCTGGGAGTTGTCAGTAAAGTTGGGAGGTTGTCAGTAGAGCTGGGAGGTTGTCAGTAGAGCTGGGAGAGTTGTCAGTAGAGCTGGGAGAGTTGTCAGTAGAGTTGGGAGAGTTGTCAGTAGAGCTTGGGAGGTTGTCAGTAGAGCTGGGAGAGTTGTCCGAGTGGGGGCTGGGAGTTGTCAGTAGAGAGTTGGGAGAGTTGTCAGTAGAGTTGGGAGAGTTGTCAGCAGAGTTGGGAGAGTTGTCAGTAGAGCTGGGAGAGTTGTCAGAGAGCTGGGAGGTTGTCAGTGAGGCTGGGAGAGTTGTCAGTAGGGGCTGGGAGGTTGTCAGTAGAGCTGGGAGAGTTGTCAGTAGAGTTGGGGAGTTGTCAGTAGAGTTGGGAGCAGTCAGTAGAAGTTGGGAGAGTTGTCAGTAGAGCTGGGAGAGTTGTTGTCAAGAGCTGGGAGAGTTGTCAGTAGAGCTGGGAGAGTTGTCAGTAGAGCTGGGAGAGGTTGTCAGTAGGGTTGGGAGAAGTTGTCAGTAGAGCTGGGAGAGTTGTCAGTAGAGCTGGGAGAGTTGTCAGTAGAAGTTGCTGGGAGTTGTCAGTAGAGTTGGGAGAGTTGTCAGTAGAAGTTGGGAGAGGTTGTCAGTAGAGCTGGGAGAGTTGTCAGTAGAGAGCTGGGAGTTGTCAGGAGAGCTGGGGAGAGTTGTCAGTAGAGCTTGGGAGAGTTGTCAGTAGAGCTGGGAGAGTTGTCAGTAGAGCTGGGAGAGTTGTCAGTAGAGCTGGGAGAGTTGTCAGTAGAGTTGGGAGAGTTGTCAGTAGAGTTGGGAGAGTTGTCAGTAGAGTTGGGAGAGTTGTCAGTAGAGCTGGGAGAGTTGTCGAGTAGAGAGGGCTGGGAGAGTTGTCAGTAGAGTTGGGAGAGTTGTCAGTAGAGGCTGGGAGGTTGTCAGTAGAGCTGGGAGAGTTGTCAGTAGAGCTGGGAGAGTTGTCAGTAGAGCTGGGGGAGAGTTGTCAGTAGAGCTGGGAGAGTTGTCAGTAGAGAGTTGGGAGAGCTGTCAGAGTGGGAGGAGCTGGGTCAGTAGAGTTGGGAGAGTTGTCAGTAGAGCGCTGGGAGAGTTGTCAGTAGAGTTGGGAGAGTTGTCAGTAGAGTTGGGAGAGTTGTCAGTAGAGCTGGGAGAGTTGTCAGTAGAGCTGGGAGAGGTGTCAGTAGAGCTGGGAGAGGTTGTCAGTAGAGAGCTGGGAGAGTTGTCAGTAGAGCTGGGAGAGTTGTCAGCTGGGAGAGTTGGGAGGGAGTTGTCAGTAGAGCTGGGAGAGTTGTCAGTAGAGCTGGGAGGGAGGTTGTCAGTAGAGCTGGGAGAGTTGTCAGTCGCAGAGCTGGGAGAGTTGTCAGTAGAGCTGGGAGAGTTGTCAGTAGAGTTGGGAGAGAGATGTCAGCAGAGTTGGGAGAGTTGTCAGCAGAGCTGGGAGAGTTGTCAGAAATGGGAGCTGGGAGAGTTGTCAGTAGAGCTGGGAGAGATGTTGTCAGTAGTCAGTAGAGCTGGGAGAGTTGTCAGTAGAGTTGGGAGAGTTGTCAGTAGAGTTGGGAGAGTTGTCAGTAGAGTTGGGAGAGTTGTCAGTAGAGCTGGGAGAGTTGTCAGTAGAGCTGGGAGAGTTGTCAGAAGAGCTGGGAGAGTTGTCAGTAGAGTTGGGAGAGTTGTCAGTAGAGCTGGGAGAGTTGTCAGTAGAGCTGGGAGAGTTGTCAGTAGAGTTGGGAGAGTTGTCAGTAGAGTTGGGAGAGTTGTCAGTAGAGTTGGGAGAGTTGTCAGTAGAGTTGGGAGAGTTGTCAGTAGAGCTGGGAGAGTTGTCAGTAGAGTTGGGAGAGTTGTCAGTAGAGCTGGGAGAGTTGTCAGTAGAGCTGGGAGAGTTGTCAGTAGAGCTGGGAGAGTTGTCAGTAGAGTTGGGAGAGTTGTCAGTAGAGCTGGGAGAGTTGTCAGTAGAGTTGGAGAGGTTGTCAGTAGAGCTGGGAGAGTTGTCAGTAGAGTTGGGAGAGTTGTCAGTAGAGCTGGGAGAGTTGTCAGTAGAGTTGGGAGAGTTGTCAGTAGAGCTGGGAGAGTTGTCAGTAGAGCTGGGAGAGTTGTCAGAAGAGCTGGGAGAGTTGTCAGTAGAGCTGGGAGAGTTGTCAGTAGAGTTGGTCAGAGAGCTTGTCAGTAGAGCTGGGAGAGAGAGCTGGGAGAGTTGTCAGTAGAGCTTGGGAGAGTTGTCAGTAGAGTTGGGAGAGTTGTCAGTAGAGTTGGGAGAGTTGTCAGTAGAGTTGGGAGAGTTGTCAGTAGAGTTGGGAGAGTCGTCAGTAGAGTTGGGAGAGTTGTCAGTAGAGTTGGAAGAGTTGTCAGTAGAGTTGGGAGAGTTGTCAGTAGAGTTGGGAGAGTTGTCAGTAAGAGTTGGGAGAGTTGTCAGTAGAGTTGGGAGGGGTGTCAGTAGAGTTGGGAGGGATGTTAGTAGAGTTGGGAGGGATGTCAGTAAAGCTGGGCTTGGCTACGGTTTATGCATCGTTCCACACTGACACAGTGACTTGTCTACAGTGTATACATAGCTCTACATTGCGAAGGTAGCTTGTCTACCGTTTATACATATCTCTTCACTAAAACAGGGGTTTGTCTATAGTTTGCCCATAGTTCTACACTATGAAGCAATTTACGTATTACTTGCAAACACACCGACTCAAGCACACACCAGATGTCATCAGCCAAATCCAATTGACCAGTACACATGAGGTCAGCGAAACCATTACACGTTTTGCCAAACCGAAACATGTCCCATTAGCGCAGAGACCAGTTCACTTATCTACTTATCCGCTACAACTAAACTACATTGTAATGGATTGTTAATCCCGTACTCATTGCCAGATCTGTGAATGGTCGTGACGTTTACTATGAGCATATGTTTGTTTTCAATTCTTAACTGCCAGTTAGAGAAAATGTATGTTATGTACTTTTAAGTTTACTAACCAGTGAATTGTACTGATATTTACAGAATCGTATCGTGGTAACTGTTGCCGCCAATGAACACAACAAGACAGACATATGGCTACCAGCAGGGCGAAGATTTCAACATGGCGCAGGGCGTTCCATCTACCGATGAGGAGAGGAACCTGGCGCTCTGGCCGGCATTGTTGTACGTCGGGCTGATCATTGTGACAGGGACGGTTGGGAACATCGTTGTCTGCTACGTCTACGGTTACAGGCTGCGTCTGACAGTCACGAAACAATTCATGTTGGTCCTAGCAGTCCTTGACCTTGCCAACTGCTTGATCTGCGCACCGACAGAGATGGCTGTAATGTTCAAGATTGTGTCATTTAATGCCCCCGTTTGGTGCAAGGTGTCGCGGTTTTTAACCTACACACTAAATGGTTCTACATCATTGATATTATTAGCTATAGCTGTAGACAGATACTGTAAGGTGTGCAGACCTTTGAAAGTCTGTTTTACCAAAGTGAGAGCGAGGAGAATGTGTATGCTGGCCGTCATCCTGTCACTGGGCATGTCATGGCCGTCACTGCTTATCTACGGAAATAAAACTTTGAGTATCGGCGGCACACAGAACGGCACAACCTGCCTTATAGAAGACGACTACGAAAACACCTGGTACCCAGTCATATTCTATTCCGTATTTTTCATCAGTTTTCTTGCTATTGCAGCAGCAATTATCTCCCTTTATGTGAAAGTTGCAATGGAGATAAAGCTACTAAGGGGCCGACAGGAAGAACGTATCCGAAGCAGTCCTGTCCATAGGCGGATATCAGGGTATGTGGACAACCCAGAACACATTGAAGCAAATGTGCTAGACAATAACTCACTTGCAGTTGGAAGTGACTCTCAGTTAAGGCCTCCCTCCCCACGGGCCAACCAACACGCCGTAAAGCTGGCCCAAGCCCTTCTGAAGGATCTCCACAACAAGAAGACAGCCTACAAGCCGGCCAAGTCTACCCTCATGCTGTTCATCATCACGGTCATCTTCATGCTCAGTTTCCTGCCTTTCTTCATCACTGCCTTGATTCGTGGAGCAAAACGTGAAATGTTCCTTGCGAATCTAACTGACACCACTGAGATTATACTGTTCAACATCTTTGTGCGCTCCTACCTGTTGAGCAACGCCGCCAACCCGGTTATCTACAGTTTCTGCAACGCCAGGTTCCGGCAAGAGTGCCGGCCCATATTCTGCCCATGCTGGAAGAGGTCGGAGAGCAACGTTGAAATTAAAGTGGAACATACGGACAATACGCAGTCAATTCTGTGACAGACTTGCTGTGATTAATACTAGGTGGTCCAGAGACATCCCAACAGGGAAAACAAGTGAATACCATTCTCTGTGGTAGCCAACAAACATCCCCTAATTCCCTGTCCGGTCCGAGAGAGCCAATCATCACAAAGCATTACCCACTTTACCTACACAGCCAACCATCACTGAGAACATAACCCACTAACTCTTACCCCACTCTGGCGTAGCCAACCATCACTGAGAACATAACCCACTAACTCTTACCCCACTCTGACGTTGCCAATCATCACTGCGAACATAGCCCAATATCTCTTACCCCACTCTGACGTTGCCAATCATCACTGCGAACATAGCCCAATATCTCTTACCCCACTCTGACGTAGCCAACCATCACTGAGAACATAGCCCAATATCTCATAGCCCAATATCTCTTACACACTCTGACGTAGCCAATCATCACTGCGAACATAGCCCAATATCTCCAACAATTCTGACGTAGCCAACCATCACTGAGAACATAGCCCACATATCTCTACCCACTAACCCTTCACCACTCTGACGTAGCCAATCATCACACATAGCCCAATATCTCGCACACTCTGACGTAGCCAATCATCACTGCAGACATCTTCTCTTACACAATTCTGACGTAGCCAATCATCACTGAGAACGTAACCCACTAACCCTTACCCCACTCTGATATCATCACTGAGAACATAACCATTCTAACCCGTCTGACGTAACCATCACTGAGAACATAGCCCAATATCTCTTACACCACTCTGACGTAGCCAATCATCACTGCGAACATAGCCCAATATCTCTTACACAATTCTGACGTAGCCAATCATCACTGCGAACATTACCAACTAACCCTTACCCCACTCTGACGTAGCCAACCATCACTGAGAACATAACCCACTACCTCTTACCCCACTCTGACGTAGCCAACAATCACTGCGAACATAACCCACTAACCCTTACCCCACTCTGACGTAGCCAATCATCACTGCGAACATAGCCCACAAACCCTTACCCCACTCTGACGTAGCCAACCATCACTGAGAACATAACCCACTAACCCTTACCCCACTCTGACGTAGCCAACCATCACTGAGAACATAACCCACTAACCCTTACCCCGCTCTGACGTAGCCAATCATCACTGAGAACATAACCCACTAACCCTTACCCCACTCTGACGTAGCCAACCATCACTGAGAACATAACCCACTAACCCTTACCCCACTCTGACGTAGCCAATCATCACTGAGAACATAACCCACTAACTCTTACCCCACTCTGACGTAGCCAACCATCACTGCGAACATAACCCACTAACCCTTACCCCACTCTGACGTAGCCAATCATCACTGAGAACATAACCCACTAACTCTTACCCCACTCTGACGTAGCCAACCATCACTGAGAACATAACCCACCACCCCCACCCACACCACACACACACACCCCCACACACACACACACACCTTGCGTTATGTCAACTGAATATGATGTACCCTGTCCAATGATGTAATTATGGTGAATTTCAGGCAATAAAACTGTTGATACCCTCGGCACATATGTTTGCACCGTAAAAATGGGAATGTCTCAAAGAACTAAGCCCAGGAGGAAAGTATATCGGTCCCTGAAAACGTGGTTGTATTACTCGTCATCACAGGGACCATTTTGCACGTTTGTTGCATACGGTGGTGTCAAAACGGGGGTGTCAAAACGGGGTGTCAGGGTATCACAGATGGGGGTCACAGATGGGGTGGGGGAGTCACAAATGGGGGGTATCCCAGATGAGATCGTCGCACATAAGGGTATCACAGATGTGGGTGCCACAGTCGGGGGTGTCACAGACGGAGGTGTCACAGATAGGAGAGTAGCAGATGGGAGAGTCACAGTTGGGGGTGTCACAGATTGGGGTGTCGCAGGTGAGGGTGTAACAAATGGAGTGTCGGAGATGGGGGTGTCGGACGGGAGTGTCACAGAGGGGGGTGTCGAGGACGGGAGGGTTTCAGATGTGCGTGTCACAGACAGGAGAGTCACAATTGTGGGTGTCACAGATGGGGGTGTCACAGACGGGAGTATCACAGATGGGCGTGTCACAGACAAGAGTAGCAGACGGGAGAGTCACAGTTGGGGGGATCACAGATGAGGTGTCGCCGACGGGAATATCACAGACGGGAGCCTCACAGACGAGGGTGTCACAGATGGGGATGTCGCAGACGGGGGTGTCACAGACAGGAGCGTCACAGACGGGAGCGTCACAGACGGGAGCGTCACAGACGGGGATGTCGCAGACTGGGGTGTCAAAGACGGGGATGTTACAGACGGGGATATCACAGGCGGGAGTGTCGTAGACGGGGATATCACAGACGGGGGTGTCACAGACGGGGATGTCACAGACGGGGGTATCACAGACGGGGATGTCACAGACGGGGGTATCACAGACGGGGATGTCACAGACGGGGGTATGACAGACGGGCATGTCACAGACAAGAGTAGCAGGCGGGAGAGTCGCAGTTGGGGGGATCACAGACGGGAGCCTCACAGACGGGGGTGTCACAGACGGGGATGTCACAGACGGGGATGTCACGGACGGGAGTGTCACAGACGGGAGCCTCACAGACGGGAGCGTCACAGACGGGAGCGTCACAGACTGGGTATCACAAACGGCGTGTCAGAGGCAGGAGCGTCACAGGCGATCGTGTCCCACATGGACACGTGCTTGAGGATCAATCATGTCCACTTCAGGCTATACGTTAATCCTTTACCAAGAAGAAGCTGTCAACATTTCCATTGGTATCTACACGTATCAAGTCAGGAGATCCATCAGTATCTACACGGATAAAATCAAGAGATCCACCGGTATCTACACGGATCAAGTCAAGAGATCCATCAGTATCTACACGGATCAAGTCAAGAGATCCATCAGTATCTAAACGTATCAAGTCAAGAGATCCACCAGTATCTACACGGATCAAGTCAAGAGATCCATAAGTATCTACACGTATCAAGTCAAGAGATCCATTTGTATCTACACGTATCAAGTCAAGAGATCCATCAGTATCTACACGTATCAAGTCAAGAGATCCATCGGTATCTACACGGATCAAGTCGAGAGATCCACCTGTATCTACACGTATCAAGTCAAGAGATCCACCGGTATCTACACGTATCAAGTCAAGAGATTCATCAGTATTTACACGTATCAAGTCAAGAGATCCACCTGTATCTACACATATCACAAGAGATCCACCAGTATCTACACGTATCAAGTCAAGAGTTCCATCGGTATCTACACGGATCCAGTCAAGAGATCAATCGGTATCTACACGTATCAATTCAAGAGATCCACCAGTATCTACACGTATCAATTCAAGAGATCCAACAGTATCTACACGTGTCCAGTCAAGAGATCAATCGGTATCTACACGTATCAATTCAAGAGATCCACCAGTATCTACACGTATCAAGTCAAGAGATCCATCGGTATCTACACGTATCCAGTCAAGAGATCAATCGGTATCTACACGTATCAATTCAAGAGATCCACAAGTATCTACACGTATCAAGTCAAGAGATCCACCGGTATCTACACGTATCAAGTCAAGAGATCCACCAGTATCTACACGGATCAAGTCTAGAGATCCACTAGTATCTACACGTATAAATTCAAGAGATTCACCTGAATCTTCACGTATCAAGTCAAGAGATCCACCAGTATCTACATGTGTCCAGTCAAGAGATCCACCAGTATCTACACGGATCAAGTCAAGAGATCCATCAGTATCTACACGTATCCAGTCAAAAGATCCACCAGTATCTACACGGATCAAGTCTAGAGATCCACCAGTATCTACACGTATCAAGTCAAGAGATCATCAATATCTACACGTATCAAGTCTAGAGATCCACAGTATCTACACATATCAGGTCAAGAGATCCACCGGTATCTACACGTATCAAGTCAAGAGATCCATCGGTATCTACACGTATCAATTCAAGAGATCCACCGGTTTCTGCACGTATCCATTTAAGAGATCCACCACTATATCTACAGGGATCATATCCAGAGATCCACCGGTATCTACACGTTCAAAGTCAAGAGATCCACCAGTATCTACATCTATCAAATCAAGAAATCAACTAGTGTCGCTACGTATCAAGTCAAAATATCCACCAGTATCTACACGTATCCAGACAAGAGATCATCCGGTTTCTACACGCATCAAGTCAAGAGATCCATCAGTATCAACACGTATCAAGACCTGAGATCAACCGGTTTCTACACCTATCAAGTCAAGAGATCCATCAGTATCTACACGCATCAAGTCAAGAGATCCAGCCTAGTGAACAACACCCTCGGCGATAGCAGTACCTATAACATCCTTGACACAGATCGTACGGCCAAACTTATGCGAAAACACCTCAAGACCCTCCGAAGCAACAACGACATCAACGATGTCATGTACAACAAACTGAACCTCATAAACTCTCAGCAACTACGGGCGTGCCGCCATCAGAATCCACAAATGTCCTGTAAAGTGTATGATACTAGTGTGTTCTCATGGTTTTGCTTGATATGATACTGCCTAGTACTTGTTCAGATTGTTAGGACCATTAGACAAAGAAGGACTCTCCTTATTTAGTGACACTTCCTTATTTGTAGACAAACTTTAGAACATTGACACTGACGGCACCATGTTCAGTTAAGAGGTGATAGACCCTTTTACAAACCTTCCACTGGAGGAAGTCCTGGACATACTGCCCACCAGGTTAGAAACTTGGATCAATTACATAGACACAAAATTATCTGTTGACAGTATCATTAGTCTTCCACACAGTTGTTTTGAGACTTCAGTTGGCGGAACCAAACATACCAGCAGATACATGGCTTACCCATGACCTCTCTTCTGTCTCCTCTGATAACGGAGATCTACAAACTTTGAAGAAAGCGCTTTCTCCGCCTGCCCAATCCAACCCTTATGCTGGTACCGGAAGGTGCATGACACATTCACTATCCTGAGCAAGAATCACAACCTCCTCGACCGTCCGTCCTGCTCGACCGTTTGAGCAAACAACACCACCGTATCCACTTTACTATGTAGACTGAGAAATGACATCAACCCCCTTTCCTAGACATCACC